ACAAAGAAAGGTGCTAGCTCTGGCAGCACATATACTAAAATTTGTATACAGAATGATAACAAAAAGATTAGCATGACCCCTGCACAAAGATGACATGCAAATTTGTGAAGTGTTTCATATTTTAAATTTGATGAGAAAAAAAGTCATGCAAGCCCAGGAAGCACAGAGGATACCAGTCAAGATGAGCCCAAAGAGGCCCACTACAACACACATCATAATTAAAATGACAAATATCAAAGACAAAGAGAGAATCTTAAAGTCAGCAAGGGAAAAACAAAGTAACATACAAGGGAGTGCCAATAAGGCTAGCAGCTGATTTCTCAACAGAAACACTGCAAGCCAGAGGAAATGGCAAGAAATATTCCATGGAATGAAAAGCAAAGGCCTACAACCAAGACTGCTCTACCCAGCAAGGCTCTCAATTAAAATGGAAGGTGAAATAAGGAGCTTCCCAGACAAAAGAAAGCTAAAAGAATACACCTCCACCACACCAGCATTGCAACACATGTTAAAGGGACTGCATTAAGAAGATGAAGAAAAACAGAGAGAGAGGGCGGAACACAGGTACAAAGCGGGGAAATGGCAATGAATAAGCACTTATCAATAATAACCTTAAACGTGAATGGATTAAATGCTCAGCCCAGAATGGATTAAATAGAGAGCCCAGAAATAACTCCGAGTCTCTATGGTCAATTAATATTCAACAAAAGGGCAGGAGCATAAAATGGAGTAAAAATAGCCTCTTCAATAAATGGTGTTGCAAGATCTGGACAGATACATGCAAAAAAAAAATGAAACTAGACCACTAACTTACACTCAATATAAACTAAAGATGGATAAAAGACTTAAATATAAATCATGACACCACAGAAGTCCTAGAGGAGAACATAAGCAGGAAAATGTCAGATATCCTATGCAGCAATATTTTCACCAATGTGTTCCCTAAGGCAAGGGATATAAAGGAAAGAATAAACAAATGGAACTATATCAAACTAAAAAGTTTTTGCACAGCTAAAGAAAACAGCAACAAAATGGAAAGGGAACCAATCGTATTGGAAAATATAATTGCCAATGATACCTCAGAAAAAAGTTTGATCTTCAAAATATGTATATAACTCACATGACTTCACACCAGGAAGACAAATAATCCAATTAAAAAATGGGCAAAGGACCTGAATAAACACTTCTCCAAGGAGGTCATACAGAGGGCCTATAGGCATGTGAAAGGATGTTCAACATCACTAGCCATCAGAGAGATGCAAATTAAAACCACAGTGAGATACTACTTCACATGGTCAGAATGGCCATCATTAACAAATCAACAAACAAGTGCTGGGGAGGAGAAAAGGGAACCCTAATACACTGTCAGTGGGAATGCAGACCTGTGCGGCCACTGTGGAAAACAGGATGGAACTTCCTCAAAGAACTAAAAATAGAACTGCCTTTTGATCCAGTGATTCCACTGCTGGGATTATATCCTAAGAATCCTGAAACACCAAATCAAAAGAAGCTATGCACCCCTATGTTCATAAGCAGCGTTATTTACAATAGCCAAGTGTTTGAAATGGCCCAAGTGCCCGTCAGTAAACTGTGCTACATTTACACAATGGAATACTGCTCAGCAGAAAGGAAGGAGGAACTCCTACCATTAACAACAGCATGGGTGGAACTGGAGAGTATTATGCTAAGTGAAATAAGCTAGGCAGTGAATGAGAGATACCATATGATCTCACCTATAAGTGGAACCTAATGAACAAAATAAACAAATGAGCAAAAAATGAACCAGAGACATGGAAATAAAGAACAAACTGACAGTGACCAGAGGGCGGGGAATAAGGGGGACAGGCAGGAGGAGGGTCAAGGCAAGGAATATGTACATAGGACTCATGGACAAGGATAATGCAATGAGGATTGTCTTTGGGAGCAGGGGTTGGACAGGGCTGGGAAGAGCAACGGAGGAAATTTGGAACAATGGTACTGAACAACAACAAAAAAAAAAAAGACAAAAAAAGGGTTTGTTTTGCTTTAGGAAGTAGGAGTCTTTAGAGTCCCTAAATGTTTGTCATGCCAGAGGTTGAAGAACTGACTGGTAACCGAGTGCTAAGGGTGCCCAAAAGCTTTGGCCTTACCTCTCAACCACCACCAGCAAAGCAAACAACAGTCACCACTTTGTTTCCTGATGGCACTGGGATTGAAGAGGGTGGGGAGGAGGTAAAGATGATCCCACTTGCAAAACTGCAGGACTTAGTCCTACTTTGCTGTTTCTCCTGGACTGACTTTTTTCTCCTTACAAGTGTTTGCACCCTGATTTCAAGACAGGAATTTAGAATATTTTTTCTTCCATCCACCCAGGAACTGAGAAAGAAGAATCAAGGGGCAGATTTTATCAGAATACCAGGCTATTAAGTGAAAGGTCATAAACAACTCTGTCCAGGAGAGCTCCACTTCAGAACATGCCTTGGCTACAGGCCTGGTGAACAGCTGCTGCCAAAACAAAATAGTTTTTTGGCATTTAAGGGAACCCAGGAATAACAAAGAGCAAGTGAGTGGCCTGTACTGAGTACTGCAAAATGAGAAAGTAAGAATAAACTGGAGGCCAAGGGAGGAACTTAGAGCAAGAGAGAATCATACTAAGATTTTTTTAAAACTAAAAATTTCAGCACTTCATAGATGTACCCAAATAAATAAATACCAACATTCCCTTTTTTCTAAGATGTCCCAAGTCAATGCCACCCTGCTCTATTAAATACCCACTCCCCCATCCCCTCAAAATTACCTATTTATACATCACATGCTGTTTAACAATATTGATTCATGTATTTCTTTGTAAGCATTTTGATGTTTCATTTTATGTACACTTTCATACCCACCAAACTAAAAATTCTCCCAGAAACCATAATTTTGAATTTACAAAATTACTTTCTAGTGCTCCAGATAATTCAGTGAATATTGTCTACTGACCCAAAACAAATCACGCCTCTTTGGTTAACTTTCTAGAATGGTGTATCGCCTAAAACCTACACACCTTAAGGTTCAAAATGTTCCTTTTTTCATTCATGGGAGTTGATGCCACATGTGTGTGTTTCCAACAGTCTTGATGCCAGATTCTTGGGCTTGTTTAATATTGGGGTTGAGTTGTAACTTAGCCTTAGGATGTCAACCCAATTAGGGGGTATGAGCAATGAATAGCCGTCTTTTTGCTGATAGGATTTCTGTATAATCTAATGCTTCTTATTTACTTCCCCATCTCAATCTTGGGAACATCATCTTCCTCTTTCCATCATGACACAGAAACCAGAAAGGGGGGTGGGGTCCCAGGAATCAAAGAAAAGTGAGAAGAATCCCTGTAACTCTATGTACAAATTTTTCCTATCACATTTATAAATAAGTTCTCAGGAGTCAGCTCTTAAGATGTTTCATGGCCAGCTATGGAAACACCCATCTGACAGACAGTCAAAATGACAACACAGGATGAGGAGTCAGGGTCTGCTTTAATTTGAACATATCCTGTTCTGATGATTCATCTATCTGCTCTTTTCTTTCTTACCAGTTTCCAAACAGGTTAGGAAGTTTTATAAGATAGAGAAATTATCCCTTCAAACAGGTATATGATCATCTCATCCACTAACACTTTAGTTGTGAACAAGAAAACTTTCCTGCTTTTAACTAACTTCAAGGCTGGGAGGAGTGTGGACTACAGGTTTAGGTGTATACTTTTGATTAATTAGTTGGAGGACAAATGAATACCATAAAAAAAAAAGTTATAGTAATTAAAAAAGTGAAAAGCCCTGGCTGGTGTTGCTCAGTGGACTGACTGCCCACCTACGAACTGAAAGGGCTCCAGTTGGATTCCCAGTCATGCTTGGGTTGCCAGCCAGGTCCTCGGAGGTGAGAGACAACCAATTGGTGAATGTCTCACACATTGACGTTTCTCTCTCCCTCTTTATCCCGCCCTTTCCCTCTCTCTAAAAATAAATAAATAAAATCTTTTAAAAAGAAAGTGAAAAGAGTGAAGCATAATTTTTGCCCCTTTCCTGAAAAAACAGGGAGGGAGGGAGAGATAATTGGAGCCTAAGAACACACCTTAGTGGAGCCTTTAGTGGTAAGGTCATGAGGTAGCTGGGGGAACATACACAAAGTGTTTCCCAAGTTCCCAGGTAGAAACTGAAGAGATGAGAGGATAAGCAACAGGATGTGAACACACCCTTACTATTTCCGTTCCAGAGAACAGAGAGAACAGACTGGAGGGTACAGAGGGTGAGGAACAGCACAGGCCAAAAGCCTACCGCCTAGAGCCGGGAGCACCCAAGGGCTGAAAGAAAGGCAAAAGGCCGATCAGCTACACACACCCGCTTTCCAGTGAGGACTTGAGGTTTAAAATTTGTGGCAAGTTCAACTTGCCTTCACAGAGAGTTTTTGTTCTTATTTTTTTTTAATAGAGATGTGGGGCAGTAGAAAAACAAAGTGGGTCTTCCTGAACAGTAACACCTACTGTATTGTTAAAGCTCTGGGATTGCTTTTCACACTGCTTGCCACTTGTGAATAAATGGGCACCTATTAAATTGCTTAGGGGGTGTCAAGAAATTCCCTCATAATAACGTCTTCCTTTTACCTTCAAACACCGCCCCCAGCCCAGAAGCCGTCTACACCCTCCCTCCGAAGGCCACTGACCCTGAACGCATATTACGGTCTGCGAGGTCCTTCTTCCTCTGAGCCTAAGGGAGGCCGTTTTGCAGCCCACCTCCTCCCCCTGCCCTCCGCCTCCCCCGCCCGCTCCCTGCCGGCTTCCAGCAAGGACAGCAGTCACAACAACCATTTTCCCCGCCAGGAGCACTCCGTGTCCACGCACCGCTGCAGCCTCTCTGATTGGCCAGGCTCCTGGTAAACAAGGGCTGGGCAGCCAATGAGAGGGCTGTGCACGAGGGTAGCACGAGCTCCCAGGGCTAGAGCTCGCGTGGCGCTGCCAGCCGGGGCTACTATATAGAGCAGTTTCCTGGTTTAGTCAAATTATTTTCTCCGTTTTGGCAGCGTGAGTGTGGTGAGCTAGCTCGCTGATCACCCGGAGCGCTCTTCTTGCCATCGGAGGAAAGGAAACAGCTTATTTTTCCCTTGAAATTGCATAACCAGCAGTTTAAATTTTTTGACATCTTTTCAAAAATTGTTGAGTCTTTTGAAGAGGGAAATCTTAAGTTATTCCCTAGGGTTCTTGGATTTCGAGTTTTATTCTTCCTACCCCTATTTCTAACTCTTGTGCCAACCCAGCTTAATCATGGTAATGTTCAAAAAGATCAAGTCTTTTGAGGTGCTCTTTAACGACCCTGATAAGGTGTATGGCAGTGGGGACAAGGTGGCTGGACGGGTAATAGTGGAGGTGTGTGAAGTCACTCGAGTCAAAGCTGTCAGGGTCCTAGCTTGCGGAGTGGCCAAAGTACTCTGGATGCAAGGATCGCAGCAGTGCAAACAGACCTTGGAGTATCTGCGCTACGAAGACACACTTCTCCTGGAGGACCAGCCAACAGGTCAGTGGCCCAGTTGTTCTTTGCCGGAGGGTGAAGGCTGTTTTGAGAATAGAATTGAATCGAACAATTGGATGCTATTCTAAATATTCTAAGTTGCTCTGGTTGAGAGGTTTGGATTTGGTGTTGCATTCCTATCTTTTTACACTTTTAATTTACAACCTCCGCCGGAAAAAAAAAAAAAGATTAGTTTGTCCAGTTTCTTATGGTTCCTTGTTGTGAAGGTAGTCCTGTGAGATGTTTTCTTAGCGAGAGATTTTTTTGTATGCCTAAGTTACTTTTCCTTGCCCAAGACCTCCTTATCACATGGATGAATTTTAAGTGTAACAAAAACCTCATGGCTACTCACTTTTCTCTCCCTTCAGGTGAGAATGAGATGGTTATCATGAGACCTGGAAACAAATACGAGTACAAGTTCGGCTTTGAGCTTCCTCAGGGGTAGGTAGCAGCTAAATGCATGTTTGGACTTTTTTTATCTTACCCTTTTTTGATCTTGGAGAGTATTTTTACATTTTTTCCTCTTTCTTACAGGCCTCTGGGAACATCCTTCAAAGGAAAATACGGGTGTGTAGACTACTGGGTGAAGGCTTTTCTTGATCGCCCCAGCCAGCCAACTCAAGAGACAAAGAAAAACTTCGAAGTGATGGATCTAGTGGATATCAATACCCCTGATTTAATGGTGAGGTTCATTTTTTAAGATTCGATTCCCTTGGGTCTCAGGGATGATAAGTCGCATGTCTTGGGCCTTACATTGAAATACCTCAGAGAATCAAGTTCTTAGATCACTAAGGGGAGGTAAAGCTACTACCTACTCTAGGTAAGGAGTAGAAAGTAAACAAGCAGAGAAAGGACCCCTGGAAATTCTCAAAACAACTTTTCACCCCCATTCTGCATAGGCACCAGTGTCTGCTAAAAAGGAGAAGAAGGTTTCCTGCATGTTCATTCCTGATGGGCGGGTATCTGTCTCTGCCCGAATTGACAGAAAAGGATTTTGTGAAGGTAAAAACCTAGTCCTTAAAAAATAGTAGTATGACAAAATAGAAACTGTAGATTTGGGAGTAGGAACAGAAAAAAACTCATTATCCCTACTTTCCATCTTTCTGATTTCTAGGTGATGAGATTTCCATCCATGCTGACTTTGAGAATACATGTTCCCGAATCATTGTTCCCAAAGCAGCCATTGTAGCCCGCCACACTTACCTTGCCAATGGCCAGACCAAGGTGCTGACGCAGAAGTTGTCGTCAGTTAGAGGCAATCATATTATTTCTGGAACCTGTGCATCATGGCGTGGCAAGAGCCTTCGGGTACAGAAGATCAGGCCTTCTATCCTGGGTTGCAATATCCTTCGAGTTGAATATTTCCTGCTGGTGAGTGTGGGTGAGGCTGGAGAGAAAGTTGCTTGCCTATCTAAATTGCAGTAGTGTTTTTTCCAGACTTTCAGTTTAACAAACTACCAACTTCCTTTCTAGATCTATGTTAGTGTCCCTGGTTCCAAGAAAGTCATTCTTGATCTGCCCCTGGTAATTGGCAGCAAGTCTGGTCTGAGTAGCCGGACGTCCAGCATGGCCAGCCAAACCAGCTCTGAGATGAGTTGGGTGGATCTCAACATCCCCGACACCCCTGAAGGTAAGCCAGACCTAATATCTTATCTTACCCTCCGGCCTGTTTGGGTTTGTAAAACTGTGATGGTCAGGCATTTCTGGGCCAGGTTTCTTATCCAGTACTTTTCTCTCTCTAGCTCCTCCTTGCTATATGGATATCATTCCTGAAGATCACCGGTTAGAGAGCCCCACCACTCCTCTGCTAGATGACACAGATGGTTCTCAGGACAGCCCTATTTTTATGTATGCTCCTGAGTTCAAGTTCATGCCACCACCTACTTACACTGAGGTAAGAATTGTCATTTTACCACTACATTTGTTGTAGGTTTTCTACAGGAAGTTCACTCGGAGGGATTGCTAAAGGCCAGTTTTCTTTTATTACCGAAACTAAAATGGTCTTGTCTGTCTTCCTTCCAGGTGGATCCCTGCATCCTCAACAACAATGTGCAGTGAGCATGTGGAAGAAAAGAAGTAGCTGTTATCTACTTTTCTTTGTGCCTCTATGCTGTACTGTCTGTCACAGACTCCACAGTCTCTACAGTAGGGGTTGGTTCCACCCCAGCCTCTGACTCCCTGGTGTAGGAGATGATCAGCAGGCAATCTCCTGGGCCTTAAAGGTTGCATGCTCATCCTCAGCCAGTGAGATATTGTGACTGTATCGGGGTGTTTACCAGATGGGTATTAAAACACTCTAGAAAAACTTAGGCCCATCCTATTTTCTCAGATCTTGAAAATTGAGGCATACTCAGTAGAAATGGCCTCCAGGCATGATCTTACCAAGTTTTTCTTGGAGGGGAATATAGATTGTTACAATGGTATCAGATCTTGAGCTCCTGTGCCATGTGGGACAGGGCCAATTTATCAAACTGGGAAAATGAAAAAAAAAAACCATGTTCAAAGCTTTGAGAAAAGGGGGTTCTTAAAATTATTTTTGCCCTTTGTACATTTATAGGGGAAAAAATCCTCCAGAGCTGATTTGGTCTGGACTTTGGAGAGCTGCTTGAGTTAAAATGAAGAAGGTCTAAGGTTGTCTTGGCTAAGAATGTATTTTAATTTGGCCTAAAGCAGTAATAACTGTGTCCTACCAAAGGTCTTAAAAGCTGTTTTTAGAGCCTATTGCACTGTGTTCTGTTGAAATCATGTGGGAGAATGTTTCTCTTTTCATGTGACTCCTTGGAATTGATTCTGAGGGAAATGTGTTTTAGCACTTTAGTTTCTGTCAAATTTTTTTATTTTCTTTTTTCTATCTCAAAATGTAAGCTAAAACTGGTCTACTATGTCTTTAGGGGTAAGCAGAAGGGCAAAAAACAAAAAAGCATTATTTTTGAGACTTCATCCCAGTGTACAGAATTCTATAATTCTGACACATTATACAAGAAGGGTTGCTGCTATCAGCCTTGCCTACTGTGACTTATCCATACCTAGGGAAAAACTCTAAATCAAGATACCCCAACACTGATCAGAGCCTTCAGACACTGCCATGAGAAATGGGAGGGCAGGTCTTCACAAAAGCCCCCAGGGCTTCCTGTTTCTAACCAGTGTTAGGAGATGGGGGATGTTAACAGCCCCTCTCTCACTGCAGCCTTTAGCACTTTGTTTCCTGTTCTGTGTTAGAGCACTGAGCTCCACTCTTCTCTGAGAAAGTATGTGGACTGAAGGTGGTTATTTTTTTTAATTTGTGTATCTTTTTGTATGATAAACCATATTTTGTACTTAACCAGATGTATTTTCACCCCAATTCTTTGTAAAAAACAATAAAAATAAAGGTTTTTTAATGGCAGAAACTTGTTTTCTCATGTGTGAGATGGTTGGAGAAGTTATTAGGAAGTGCCTGAAGGAGTGTGTTTCCCCTGCTTCACAATTGATTCTTGAAAACCCTGTAAAGAGTGTTACCTACTGACTAATAAATTTAGTCAGGTTGTGGTTTTAGAAGGGTGAAAAGGGAAGAAATTTGAGCTCTACTTTAATGAGCCTTTTCCAAATCAATAAAAACTAGCTGGGCTCTCCCAGTATTCTAAGCTAACTTTCTACATTAATTGCTAATAAATTTCTTAATTTTGGAGTACCTGAATTTTTTAATGAGCTCTTGAAATACAGGGAAGTGAGGTTGGTAGGAAGGGTTTACAGTCCCATATTTTATAATTTGGCTTTATCATGGTTTCTTCCCCGTGTAAGCCTGGTTTATGTGCAACAAGATAATTATTCAGGACTTAGGGATTTAAGAGTTATGACTATTAAGGTTTGTTAAGGCTGCTCCCATTTTTTTTTTAATCCAAGCATGTAGTCATAACTCAGAAAACGTTTGCTGAGTATGCAACTCCATCCTCATCCCTTAGGATATGTATGCTTCATCAGTTCCTATTTCTTCCTTGTAGGGTAATAACAGTAGATTACATTATTCCACATCTAACTGAAATGATATTCCTAAAAGGCTGAGTAGGATGAGCTACCCTGAAATATGAGAGGTTAATGTACTTTTTGATTTCTGACTCATTTAAACTTTTGTAGACAGAGCTAGTCCCGGCCTTTACCTGGGGTTCGTTTTTAACTGTGGACCCCTACATACTAATTACAAACCTCAGATTTCTGGAAATCCATAAAGTCAATCAATGTGAATTGAACAGAAAGTGAAACTGAAGATTCTCACTTCAATCTATGTCATCTTATTCTCAGGAGCTCTTCTGCTCTCCTTGCTCTGTTTTTTCCTTACTAGGGTGTCAAAGTTTCTAGCTCTCTTTTGCCACTTTGACTCTCACCTTTTATTCGGATCTCTGCCTCCTTTTCTTGCCTATTCAAGAATCTGCTTGCTCCTCCCCTTTTCAAATCAGTGACCAGGAAACTAGGTCAAAGTTGATGGAAAAGTTTTTACTGCAGCTGGTTTTCCAGGGACTGGAGAGTTGGAGCAAGAACAAAAGCAAGCCAGAGTGCAGAACTAAGGGATGGAGAGAGCAAGGAGCACAAAGCCCAGTTGTTTGTTTATATACCTGGCTACTGGTAACTAACTTGAGAAGGGGATAACATACATGGGTCTGCCAGAGAGATGATCCTCTAAGAGCCAGAGCATAACGCATCCCCTCCTGATTCCTTTATACCTCAAATCCAGCACTTCCAATAGAACTTTTCTATAATGATGGAAATTTTCCATATTTGTGTTAATATGGTAGCCACTCGCCAGCCACACACATGGCTATCAAGCTCTGAAATGTGGCTACTGTGACTGAAGAACTGAATATTTATTTTTGTTTAACTTAATTTAAATGTAGTAAGTGCTATGTGATTAGTGACTACCCTATTAAACAGTATGGCAAAATCTGAGGAAGGAAATAAGCAGCTATAGCTGTTCACCCAGAGGAAACACCCCCTCCTTAGAGCACGAAAGGTCCCATTGGACTCCCTTTTGCCTTCTACGCACAACTTCTACCTCACCTCAGGACATTTACTGCATGTAGGTTCACTTTATACTGTCCTGGGTACTGGCCCAGCTATTTCTCCATTAAAGTGGGCAAATATTTTGGGTCTTCCTTTCCCTTATTCTTTTCATATGCCTTTTAATTTTTAAAGTGCTATAACTTCTATGTACAACCGTTAGAGGAGATTCAGTTCCTAGTATCAAATATTCATTAGGTCCCATGTGGTATAGGAAGAATTGAGAGAAGACAGACAACTAAAGAAAGCTAAAAAAAAAATTGAACAGGGCAGGTTTACCAACCAGGGTCCTTGGCTACCTTAATACCTCTGAACAGACTGGAAACACAAGGATGTTGTAATTTGGACTGAGGCATTGGGAAGCAAAAATGTCGGGAGGGGATCTGACCAAGCATCTGGTCAAAAACTATTGCATGGTAGCTGAAAAGAGATGAAGTGGGGTGAAGGAGTGACTTTTGTCCAGGTCTTTCAACAGCATGCAGATCTTTTCCTGGTGTTCTTTCCTTGGACCATCTCTAAGTGATAGAATGCATAAGGTGGATAAGGAAAATATTTTACTGCCCACTTCAGTGGCCCAGTCTCTGTCCCAAGGACCCCCACCTCAGTAGTTCTGGAGTGAGAGGGAAGAAACTTCTGCCCCATTCTCTGTGCTGACCCCATATCCACCTCCATTTCCTAAGCCTAAAACTCCCTCTCAGAGATGACTGTACATCCAGGCCACAGGTCCTGAACCTATAGCCTAAAAAAATTTCAAGGATTAGCCTGCCTACGATATTAAGGAGAAATAGTGTTACTGTACTGTACTAAAGGGGTCCTTTCATCTGCACATATCAAAGCCCAAGAAGACATGAACAGGAATTTGCAGCAAAGAAAGTAACAGTTTATTTTTAGGAAGTGGCCCGCACTGGGAGACAGGTTAGCTAATGACCAAAGACCTGGTTCCCCATGGTTTCCAGGGGATGGATTATATATGGAAAAAGTAAATTATGGTTACTAAGGGAGGGTCATGGTCAAAGTCGTGGTCTTTATTAATTGGTCGTGCTAGGGTAGGGGGTAGTTGATCAGAGCATCTGGTCCTGATGCCAGCCATGGCACTGCTTTGTCTTTTCTGGGCCTGGAACTGAAACACACTTGAGGCCCAGATGTTATCTCTAATTTGACCAACATTAGAGATAATCAGAACCTCATTGTCCTGAGGACTTAATAATTAAGGGAGTTGTCCTGCAAGGAAGAAAGAAACAGGTAAGTCAGTGTGCTGAATGAGGCCATTTTGAGTCAAAAAGAAAGGAAGGAGTAAAGGTCACATTAAAGAAAGTTTCTACTGGGTCATAATAGTATAGTGTGGTGATTTTCAACCAGTGTGTCACAAGAATTTTTAAAACATGCAGTACCTGACTATTTAGTCAGGGACATTGATGTCTTTTACCTTACATTGTTAAAAAAATAACAACCAACACAACAATAGCCACTGGGTGTGAATGAATCAATATTATACCTACTTTTTTATGTCAGATGGGCAAAAGTATGTGTTTTGGTGTGCCACAGAATTTTAGTTGTTGGGGAATGCCCTGCCTGATTTCAGGAGCTGCAGCCCCGCCCACAGGTGAGAGGGCCCTAAGGTTGGAAATAATCAAGGAGGCCTTGGAAAAACAGGCCGCTGAGGAGACAAAACCTGTTCCCCTGGCAAGGGCACAGCCCCTGCCTTCCTCACATCACCCTGCTTGGCCCTGTGATGGTCCAATGTTGATGACGGGTAAGTTCTCTCGCGAGGAGAGACGACCTAAGACAGACATCAGCTGGTATGCGCTGTGGGAGAAGGACTTGGGGGACATGAAGAAAGGGCAAAAAGGCCCGCACCCCTTGGCTTGGCTTGGATGTGGCTGGGGGTCCTCATTCTATCTGAAAGTAGTCTCCTTATCTCTTGGTGGCTCTGCCCCACCCACCTGGCTCAGGCTTGCAACAATAGTAAAGGCAGGTACAGCCCTAAATTGGATTGGGCGGTTCCCGGGGATAATCAGGCCTAGAAGAAGTAAGTTCCTCTAAGCATGCTTTGTTCTTCCCTCAAAAGCGATAACCAGCTCATACTGGGAAGGAGATTTACATTATTCATAGACCCTGACCTGAGGCAGATCTCTTGTGTTCCTCCAATTGTTATCTATGATCTCTATTTGTTTTCTGTAAACATAGTCTTTTGACATTGATTGATGAGCTTTGCTTCCATACCCCTGTACATACGGTTCTCAATAAAAGCCTTTGGACAAGGAGGTTCAGAGCCTTCCTTCTCTCCTAGAGGGAACTTGCCATGTCCCCTCTCCTGGCAAACAGAGAAGTGTTTGTGACAACTCATATTTATTCCCCCCAATCTGTGACAATCCCAGGATGGGCTCTGCAGGATTCAGAGCCCCACTTCCTCTTCAGCTGGCTCGAGACAGTAACCCTTAGATCCAGGAGCACATGCAACCCATGCTCCTTGCAATGCGTTGCCCCCCACGAGAGATGGCGCCTGAACAGGGACATTTAGTAATTAGTTTATGTGTGCTGTGAGAGGAAAAGGTTGAAAATCATTCAAAGAGTGTGGTAGTGAAGCAAATATATCCTAGATACAAACTTTCTAAATTCAAATCTTACTTCCACCACTTAATAAGCTCTATGACTTTGAGCAACTTGTTTAATCTCTGGGTTTGTTTACCTGTAAAATGGGAGATAATAATAGTATCTACTTTGGAAGATTATTGTGAAGATTTTAACAACGTATGTTAGGTGTTAGAACAATAGCAAGTAAATTGTTTGTTACCTAAAATAAAAGAGGAGACATATCCTCCACCTCCACCTCGACCACTGCCAACTTAATTAGTTCACTCCCAACCATGTCTCAAAAATTGTTCTTCCTCCTTAACCTGTCAGAAGACCATTCTTTCTTCATTCTTCTTCATTCCTTTCCTGCATTTGGGGGAAAAAAACAGCCTGAAAAGAAGTCAGTGTATAGAAGCTGACTCAGCCTGGGCTGGGGTTCATTGTGGTAGGGGACAGGTAGCCTACTGTTGGAACTCCCATCCCCAGCCCAGGACAGGACTTTTGCACACCTTTAACCTCTGTTGGTATAGCCCTGGGAGAAAAAGAGTTTTCTCTCCCATAATTTCTGTGTGCTTTTCAGGTCTTTGGAACCTCCTGGAAATTAACTGAGCTTTCTTAGCTTTTTAGTATACAACTCCAGAAGAAAGCTGTCCACCATTTGGAGTGACAAACTGAGGAACACAGCGTACTGGATATACAATGGGACACTACAAAGAATCCTCAGACTCCTTATTTAAAAGTATTGCATGTTGTTTGATTTTTTAAAATTTTCCCCTGAGGTGGC